TGTGCGAGATGTATACGTTGACCCCTGGGTAATACGAATGCCAGAATTTGTGCTAAGATGCCGGATCCATGATCTGTTACACGATTTTACAATTGCAGAGGCTAAGGAGCTGGGCTTCCTCGTCTGCGACGGGATCCGAGATGACGGAGGCGCCTCGCAACTGGATTCCTCCGCGCGGCGCCTTTCTCTTCACGGGGATAAAGCGTGGTGCTGGGACTCGGAGTCCACCCCAAGACTGCGCACCTTGCTTTCGTTCGGAACCTATCGCAATTTTGACATAAATAGAACATTCCCCATTACAGATCTGAAACTGCTCAGAGTCGTCGATCTGGAGTGGGCATCAATCGACGAACTGCCAAAGCAAGTTGGAGACCTGATCCATCTTCGATACTTGGGCTTGAAAAATACAAAGATAACGAGTCTTCCGTCTTCAGTGGGGCAACTTCGTCGTCTACAGTGCTTGGACGCTGAGGGGACGGGAATCAAAACGATGCCGATAGGTGTCTGGAAGATTGAGACCTTACGGAAGGTCCTCGTTCCCTTTACAGTGGAGCCGGAGATGGTGGAGGGAGGGTTAAGAAGCTTGCAGGTGCTCAAGCTCGTCCGGGCCGGGAGGTGGATAGATAGTTGCCTAGGGAGCCTTACCAGTCTCCGGGAGCTGCAAATAACAGGCATCGAAGGTTGTCATCATTCCGCGCTCTTATCTTGGCTACCGAAGTTGCCACGCCTGAAGAAGTTGCTATTGCAAGGCGCGTCGATCCCGGATTGTCTATGGAGACCGTCCGGCTTTTCTTCCCTTCAGGTCTTATCCCTGATTGGGACGGTGACGAGGCCACCACAACATTCAAGTTCTGGCGGCGACCAGTGGCTTCCCAGTCTCACCGAACTCATACTAAGCTACACCAGTCTGGGTCAAGACTCGATTGCGGCGCTCGAGAAGCTCCCTGAACTTACATATCTGTTTCTTGGTCATGGATCCTACGTAGGAAAGCAGATGCTCTGCTCCCGCGGCGGGTTCCCACAACTGGAGTCCCTCATAATTGATTCACTGCACAAGTTAGAGAGGTGGGTAATTGAGGCCGGGGCCATGCCCCGCCTGAGGAGCTTGAAGATCTACGACTGCACAAAGTTGGAGATGCTGCCGGAAGGGTTGCGACGCATGGCTGCTTTGAAAGACCTCACGTTGTTGAATATGTCCCCTGACATCTGTTATAGAGCTGAAAAGGAGGGAGAGGACTGGCCCAAAATCCAGCACATACCTTCAATCACCATTTCAGCCATATGTCCTTATTTGCTCTGACCGGCGATTCCACGGGCAGACTCTCGGGAAAACCTCAGATATGGGACTAACCATGTGGATACCCCCTTTCCCCCACTTTTCTTTGCACATAATACAACACATCCGATAACCATTTCAGGGTCACAGGGATAGAATGTAGTATCTCTAAATCTGTGATACATGGGGAAAACCCATTTGTCATATTGATGCAGCACGATCCCACTCGCCATTGAGTGAAGAACGTGGAGCCGTTTAGGATAACTAGAGAGGCATGACGTGGAGGACGTGGATCTCATTGATGACTTAGCCATCCACCAAGCACACCGCGTCACAAATGCATTGAAGCGGACGATTTCCTTAAATACGCTTTGTTCGTCTTGAATTTATTTCCATATTGCTCTTGAGTGTCACAAGAGCCATGAAAAGCTCTACCCCAATGCTGTACGGCATCTGCGGACCAGCTGCAGCTTGATGTAGCGCCAGTACACATGCTAGTAGTATACCAACTTGTGCTCTTAAGTCTCTACATCTTTCCATATTGGAGAAGTTGAGATTTCAGTCTATGACTCAGATCTAGTAGTCATTGCTTGATTAAAGTCACTACATAAATTTGGTTTAGAAAAAGTCAACCATTGGGTAGTAAACCACCATCGCATGTTGTTGTTACCCAGCTGTATTCATGACCATTGAGGCTTCACCGATTTTAGATGTTAGATGAGGTGGTTAGTTTTTAAATACATTCCTTAAAATTATTTTTATTTATTATTTTGAAATAAAAGATAGCCATAAGGTAATCCTTATGAAACGTATAACCATTACTTCATTCAGGTGAATCAGTTAAAACTGCACAAAAAACTTGATTTGTGGATCCCAAGCTCCCGCAGACCACCCCTCTCTCTCTCTCTCCCCTTCTGGCTGACTCGGGGAGAAAAGAGGAAAGTTACAAGGGCGACTCCCTCTCTCTCTCTCTCTCTCTCTCTCGTCCTTCCATGTGGGTAGGTGTCTCCTTGGACGCGGCGCTCTCCCATTGGTAAATACCAGTCAACGCTGTTTTATCTGAACTTACCGTTTCTACAACCGCCGTCAGATAATCAATCCGCACAAGAAAGGAATAGCCTCCAGCTTGACACCAACCCACCCTCTCTCTCTCTCTGCCGCCGGCTTCATTACCGTCGTAGACCGTTGACTTTTCGGTGAGACTAAAGCTAGGTCCCAAGGGATGTAAAGTCGAATGTGTGATTTTGGGAGGGTGTATAGGTAAAAAAACTACATGGTCTTACCAGCATGATTATTTTAAATTTTTAACCCCATCCAGGGCTTGCAACTGGAATAAATACATTATTTATGGTTAAAAGGACCATAATATTGTGCATATTTGCAATATAGCGAAATGATGGACTTAAAAATTAAGAGAATTTATAAATTTATAGATTTTTATTGCGATGTGGGGAGCTCAGTACTTTGAAACACTTTAGCTAATTTGTAGCATTTACCATATAATAAATAATTGTTTTATATTTGTATATTTTTTAGGCATATTCGAATAAAGTCTGTAAGAAAACAGGTAATTTTGAAAGACAGAATTTTGGTAGACGAGTGAGGATTTATGTGTAATTTTCTTTTATGGGAGGCTCCTTTACAGAATAAATGATTAATAAATGATCTGCGCCTGATAATAAATTTGCACAATATATGAGCAAAAAGACAAAAAAGGCTTTCAATTGTATTATTTGTAATGAGTTAACAAACTTTTATGAGCCCGATTTGGCCCACATTCTAAATAAAGTCAACACTTGATTTCTATTTTAAAGGAAATTTACATACATAGGAATTTATACTTATTAGTAAATGATAAAGTCTAACCGATGAATACCCATTTCCTCTAAGAGACGAGGGAATCAAAGAGGGAATGTCTTGAGACCAGCTAACGTGGTCTTCTCATGTACGGCGTATCTCTCTCTTTCTCTATCTCTCTATCTATCAATCAATCAATGTATTTACTACCTAACCACCTATCTCTCTCTATGTATGTATGTATGAATGTATCTCTCTGTCCACGCATCTCTCTCTCTCTCTATGTATCCATATATGTATGTATCTATCTGTCTATCCACCAATCTCTCCCTCTCCGTATGTATGTATGTATGTATGTATATATCTATCCACCTCTCTTTCTCTCTCTCTCTCTCTATCCAGCTTCCGGCTTTACTTCCGGCGACGTGAAGAATTCCGAGGGATCGGTAACCAAGGCGAGGAAGGCAGACAGTGGGAGGAGCTTGCAGGAGTTGGGCGAGGAACCCGGAGCTTCCGTCTATAACTTCGTCAACGTGTGATCCTGCTAAAACATCCAGAACGGCGGCGCCACCATAGTGGACGTCAACCCCGCTCTGCTGTCCACGCGTTCTGCTGGGTACTGTGGACCTCTTTTTAAGGCCGATAGTAATTAAGCCGACTGGGGCCTTGACTAGGGATTTCCATCTGCCATGGTATGGGATGGAGCTGCTGGGCTCTCTCGAATTAGGACCAAGGGGAGTTGTCCGACGGCCACGCGTGAAAATAGGCCGGTAAGTGGTCTCCGGGCACCAGACTTGTCAACTCTTGAAGGGGGCATGAGAGAGAGAGAGAGAGAGAGAGAGAGAGAGTAGTCCGAGAAAATGGCCCCAATTCGGCCGGGAAGAAAATTAACCATGTCGAGAGATCATCCTGATTGTCTCGTGTCTTCACGCGTCATTATCTAATCCTATAAATTATTCCATGTCGTGCCAACTTGTTTTCTCAAGTCTCCAAGTCTTTAAATATTGAACAATTCGAGATTCGAATCTAATGGTTCAGACTCAGTTGAACTCTTCAATGATCGATTAGAACCACTACATATGTTAACCTTAGAAAAGGTCAACCATTGGGTACTAAAACACCAAGGCAGACGTTGGAGGTTTCGTTAAAATGGAACAAAAATATTAAAAACTTGAAGTCACTCGCATGTCAACGTCACTTTGCATTGGCTAATATAGAACCAAAATAGTTTGCTTGTTGAAGTTCAATATTTTTATTTCTTGTAAATAATAATTAAAAATTATGAAAATTAGAAGAAAAAAATTGCATTTAGCACATTAATAAAACACATTTGCAAAGAAAAAGTTGGGATTGAGTAAATAGTCAGTTAACGTGTTTAATCATCAATAATTTCCCATTAGCCGTCAAGTTTGAGCGCTTGATTGGGACAGTTTACCAGCTCTCTTTGTGAGCATTATTTCAAAGATTTTTTCCTTGTTTGTCAAAGACGTGTTGGGTTAGAAAAGAAACGTTGTTGACCAATTTGTTGGCAGCGGGTGGGCGACGAGATGTATTACTTGGCGATGGACTGCTCCTCTTGAGCCAATTCAGCTTTCAATATCTTGTAATTTGTTTCATAAATAAGTGGGTACGATAAATCATGTTCTATCAAAATTATTGGGTTAATCATCAACTTTAGTCTTCACTCACGCATAAGCTTTAATCCTAATAACAGAACAAAACATTAAGCTATAATTTTTTCTTATTTTTCTGCGCTCGTACATCAAATAGCCCGGTCGACGAACAGCCAGGTCAACTCATCTGCGCTCGTATCTTCTTTATTATTATCCTTCGTCACTTATTAACGACAGAAGGAACATAGGTGAGAAGTTTCATCGGCAAACCATTCCATTTCTGGCTGAGAGCAGGAGGCGAGCTGAGGAGTGGGATGGCGGACGCTGTTCTCGGCTACGTGGTACAACGGATCTGCGATCTCCTCATCGATGAAGCGGTCTTCCTGTTCGAAGTGAAAGATCAGGTGGAGTGGGTCAAGGAGGAGCTCAAGACGATGCAGTGCTTCCTCAAGGATGCCGACACGAAGAGCAAGGGGGACGAAAATGTGAAGAACTGGGTGAGGCAAGTGAGGGAAATCGCTTATCAGGCGGAGGAACTCGTCGAGTCTTACGTCCT